GGGCGCGCGGGGGCGCCGGCGGGCAGCGGGCACCGGCACGCGTGCGCCGAGTGCGGCAAGACGTACGCCACGTCGTCGAACCTGAGCCGCCACAAGCAGACGCACCGCAGCCTGGACAGCCAGCTGGCGCGCAAGTGCCCGACGTGCGGCAAGGCGTACGTGTCCATGCCCGCGCTGGCCATGCACGTGCTCACGCACAACCTGCGCCACAAGTGCGGCGTGTGCGGCAAGGCCTTCTCGCGGCCCTGGCTGCTGCAGGGCCACATGCGCTCGCACACGGGCGAGAAGCCGTTCGGCTGCGCGCACTGCGGCAAGGCCTTCGCCGACCGCTCCAACCTGCGCGCGCACATGCAGACGCACTCGGCCTTCAAGCACTACCGCTGCCGCCAGTGCGACAAGAGCTTTGCGCTCAAGTCCTACCTCCACAAGCACTGCGAGGCCGCCTGCGTCAAGGGGGCCGAGCCGCCCCCGCCGCCCCCCGCCGGCCCCGCCAGTTGAGCTGCCCGCTGCCCTCGCGCCCCCCACCTCCGCCTCCGTCCTCTCCGCGCCCCAGCAGCGTTTCCCTGCCCACGCCCCTCGTGGGGACCCCCCCCTCCCAGCCCGGAACTTTTCTCTCCCGCCCCCCAGACCCACCCTTCACCTCTGGCACTGGTTTCCCCAACGCACCCCGACCACATCGTCCTTTCCGGTCCCGAAACTCGGACCTTGACCCCCTGTCTCCGCCCTCAAGGCTCCCAACTCAGGCACCAGGTCCGCACCTCTCCCGGGCCCGCGGAGCCGGAAGTTTCTCCCGCCCAGACCCCGCACCTCTCCCCTTCCAACTTTCAGACCTTTCCTCTCACTTCTCAGCTGAGTCTCTCCTACAGTTCCTCTATTGGAACCCCAGTCTAAGGCCCAAACCTACCTTTGACTCTCAAGCCTGTCCTGTCCACACCGGTACGCAGGCCCTGCAGCTCCCAGGCCACATTCCAACCCCAGACCCTCCTTCTGGCCTCTGCCGAGTCTTGCTGTATGTGTGCCCATCTAGGGATCTAATCCTCATCCCTCTTGGGAGTCCCCAGTCTGTCCCTGATGCCCTCTGTACCCTGGCCTTAGGTCCAGCCATTCACACCGCCCCCCCTACACCACTCTCACATACATTTCCCACTCTCTTAGGTCCTGGGGCCTTCTCAACCACTCCCACGCCCTACTCTCTCCAGACCCCCTCAACCCTCCAGCAACTCTCACCCCTTTGAGTTCACCTGACCTGGGGCAGACTTGAGGGGCAGTTCAGGCCCTGCCCCCTACCGTAGTCCTCCTCTCACCCCAGGACAGCCCCTCCCTGGGCTTCCAGCCTCTAGCCGCCCTCTCCCCAGATTCTCTGAGCACTTTCCCCCACCCCCAGGACTACAGGTACCCCTCCTTATTTGTTGGGGGGAGTCTGGGGCACCTCACAAATGCCCTTCCCCCTGTCTGGCTGGGCCTCTCCAGTTATTTATTTGTTTATTTATTATTTATCTATTTATTATTATATTTACTCTCTTGGCCTCACCCAGGGATGGTCTGGCTTCCCCAGCTGGACTGGGAGGTCAGGGAACCAGGCAAGGAGAGGGACAGCAAAGGCCATAAAAGGCTGTCCCCCCACCACACACACACACCCCCTCTTGGTGAGTGAGGGAGAAGCCTCACCCTCATCAGAGCCTGAACTCGCTGGAGAAGGGGGCACGAGAATGGGAGGGATAGCCTGCTGACCCTCAACTTGGGGGGTGAGGGGTATGAGGAGGTCCAGTCATGGGGCAGGTCCCCGCCCTCCTGAGCCTTCCACTCCCACTCCAGGGAGACCGGAGAGAGGAGTCTCCTCGATTTGTTTCCTATTTATTCCTCTTCTCGAGGGACCCCAGGTTCCAGGGACCGACTGAGCCCCGGACCCCGCTGGGGCCTCCGGCCCGCTCCGCTCCCGGGAGGAGCGCTCCCTCCCGGCCACGTCTATGCAACTCTCCCGGGCAGAGGGGCCGGGGCTGCCAGCTGCCCCCCCCGGTGGCCGCCACTACCTCCCCCGCCGCGCTTTTGCATGCCCGGGCGAGGACCGAAGCACACACCTCCACGCTCACGGGCCCTGGCCCCCTCTGCTTTAATTAAGCACACGCCTCTGCCCCATCACTAGGCGCCCAGCTCTGGGGGCAGGAGTCCTGGACTCTCCGACCCTCCCTCTCTCCCCACCCAGCCACAAAGGAGGGTGGAGACTGGAGGAGCCGCGGGAGCAGGGGCACTTCTCTAGGGCTTCTCAGCTCCAGGCCCGCCTCGGGGAAGGGAGGTAGCAGGGATGGGGGGAGGGAGAGGGGTCGCAGAAGCAATTACGGAGGGTGTTGACCCTGTAAATAGGAACTTCCGACAGCAATAATTTTCCATGCATGCTAAGCCTTTTGGCCATATTTTGTATGAGCGCTTGGCGCTCCCCCTCCCTCTTCCTCCTCCCCTATCTCGCACCCCAGACCCCCATCCTTCCTCACCTCCAGCAGTATTACTTGTAACGCAATTCAGGGATATTAAAGGGACTTTGGCCACTCACCAGCGCCTCCAGATCTTGTCACTGGGGAGGGGTATGGGCAGGGGCGGCAGCTGGATTTTCTTTTTTTCTTTTTTCCTTTTTACATTTTTTAAAACTTACTAATCTTGTTGATTGCAGCTAGATTTTTTCCCACTCCATTTCCCTCCCTCTAGCCTGACCACCCTGTAGCTGCCACCAAGGGTCACACACTCGGGGGGGGGGGGGGTGAGGGTATCCTTTGACATCCACAGAGTCCCAGGCATCCTCAGTCCTAAATATTCCTCAAATACTGATGTTGCAAACTCAAAGATTTCAAGAACCAGATTAATAGCATGAATGAAGCAGGTTCCTTTAAGACATTAGGGAATGTTGGAACCTGTGACTAACAGGAAAGATTGTGTCTCACCTTAGAGAATTCAAGTTAACTAAACCTGCCAAACAAATTACAACCGTGAGCCAGATTTGTCTCTTGACAGCCAGTTTACAACCCCTAATTCTTCCCCATTTCATCCCCTGCTGCTTTGGCCGAGTTTGGGGCCAGCCCTATTGGTCACACCTGAGCAAGTATATGCATGCAAAACGGTCAACTTCAGCTGGGCAGGCAAAGTTGTCCCAAAACAGTAAGCTGCCCCTAGAGCCAGTGAACGACTTGTCTTCAAAAGTGTTCAGGAAGATGCTGAACAGCCACTCCATCCTCCTTGCCAGCTACCTTGGTGATCTTTCAAAATACAAATAGGTCCTTGCCTTACTAAAAACCTCACTGGGGACCATCACAACATGCCACTTAAGTCCACCCCCCAGCATGGACCCACTGAGAGGTGAGGCCCATGTGCTTTGAGGGCTGGATGTCAGGCTGCAGGCTAGAACTCCATCTCCCCTGGGGCCATCTTTTGGGATTCCTCCTTTTGTGAGCAGTACACTCAACTTTTAGACCTTCAACGGGTGCTCATCTGCCTTCCTCTTCACATACCCCTGGACAGGCAGCTCTAATCCGAGCGATGTGCTACATGACTCCAGCAATGAGAGCAGTTTGCCCCCCCCGCCCCACCAAATCTCCAATGGGGCTTTGAGGAGCCCAGGAACCTGTTGCCTTCCCTCGCCAGCCACACACAGTCCTCTGTGGCTACACATTGCTTCTGATCTGAGGTTGCATCACTTACATCTGCTTCAGATCCAGGGGGCAGAACCCACTCCAGACCCATATTTTATAAACATCTCATACCCTGTATTAAATCCCCTTAAAGCAGAAAGTGCTTAACACAGGGAACTGGCTGCTGACAAAACTGCAGGAAGGACTGAAGGGGAGAGCCCTCAGCTGGGCTCCCTAGAACATCCCCACAGAACTGGCCCACCAGGGGAGCTGCCGCCTCTCCCAAAACCAGCCAGGGGCATCAGGCAGCTCACTGGAACTACTGAGTTCAGGAACACAGCACTATCAGTGGGACCCAGGAATCAGGAGGCCCCTGCCACTGCCTTTCAAACTGTCTCCTGTCTCCCACTGTGCTGGCGGCTCAACACTGGAACATCGGTACAGAAAACTTGGGGCTCCGTGACCACCTTGCCAGCAGCCAGAGACAAGGCACTAAGAAAATGGCGCCTGCCCACTTCCACCATCCACACTCCACAGAAGTGCATCCAACTGGCCAAGCCCAATTCAGTGTCATTATCCTTGCTGCAGGGAAGTCTGAGAAATGGAGTTTTTAACTCTGCAACAAACAATACAGAAGGCACCCTAGAGGGAGGTGGGAATGGCTGCTGGGTACCCACTCTCTACCTCCTGTCCTTCCCTCCTTGATTGGCAGCCATGCAGTCTGGGAACTGAACATCAGCTTAAGGGGTGGTCCTGACTGGGTCGAAGAGTAATCCTGTCCCCCGTGGGCTGATAAATGGGTCTATGACTCAATTCTGGCCAAAGAAGCTTAAGGAGAGGCTCCCTGGAAGCTTTCAGGAAAGTTCGCTTCTCCCTCTCCTTTAAGACAAAGGAAGCCAAGTCTCTCTTCCCCCTGAATGTGAACAGGGAAGCATGTCATCTTGTGACCATGAAGGGAACCAGCCTTCGCCTGAAGCCCACACCCCGGAGAACAAAGCGGAGGGATGGAAAAAGCCCATGTCCCGGATGACATCAGGGAATGCCGAAAAAACCGCCCTAAAGCCCACTCAATATGCTGCCTCTAGACTTCATGGTGTGTGACATGAGTGTCTTTATTTGTTTAAGTCAGCTGGATCGGGCCCGTTACCCGCAGCCCTCGGCACCTCAACTGGCCAGGCCTTCCAGGCTGCTTTTCACAATTCTCTCAAAGACCTCCATGACTCAGCTCTGGTTCTCCTCATACCTGTCTGGCTGCTCCACCTAGCGACTTGGAGGACTCACGTTCCTATACCCAAGTTCCTGCTCCTCCTTGTATGCTTTGTGTTCCACAGGGTTCTCTCCTAGACTCTCCTCCTCTCACTGTACTCTCCTGAAACCCATGGCTTCAATTTCCACCCACAGGCAGATTCGCAGATTTACATTTCCAATTCCAGCCTCCTCTCCAAGCTGCAAATCCGTATCTGCCTGCAGGCCCCCTCCACTCCGGTACCCCAACAGCACAGACTAGCCAAGTCTGAGGCTGCCTTGTGCTTCTCCAGGGTTCCCCCACCTCCTTGAACGGCACCAGCACCCATCCAGTCTTGCAGCCAACAAAACCCAGAAGTCATCTCTCCCACCTCTGTCTCCCCATCCTAGCATCTAGTCGGACACCAGCTTCCGGTGATTGTTCCTCTCCATGATCTCAGTGCGCCCCCCCCTAGTCCATAGCTACCATCATCTCTTCCCAGGACCGGCCTTCTCACTGGTCTCTCTGGATCCATTCTGCCTCCCCCACCTCCCTTCCTCTCTTCACAGCAGCCACAGTGTTCTTTTCAAAAATGCAGGATCTTCTCTGATCATGTCACTACCACCCACCACCCCCACTTCCCTGCTTAAAGCACT